ATCTTAGTTTATAAGGATACATGCGTTTTAATGGACGTTTACATAATATACATATATAAATAAATGTATATGATATAGAGACCCTATGGGTAGGTAATGGGTATTAATAGCCATATAATATTATTTACGTATATAAGTAGATGTGTTCATGTACACTTAAAAAAAAGTAGGTTATATTGTTATATTGCCTTTTTCTTTTCTATTATCTGCCTTCTTCTTTTTTATTAAATTATTTAAGTATTTGGATCAAATATGTAATTATATGACAAATAACATGAAATGAGAGAGCAAAATTCTGGGCTTAATGATGATATAATTCATTTTTTCCTTTGTTTTATTTTTGGTTTAGTTTCCTTCTATCTACAATATAATTAGACTAAATAAGGATATTTAATATTTGTTTAAAAATAATTAAAAATTTATATTGTGTCTATATATATATACATATATATTTGTAATGTATTTGAATATGTATGTATGTGTGTACGGATTTAAATAAGAGATGACGCATTTTTTTTTTTTTTTTGCATTATGTAGGTCAATTTTTAGGTTAGGTTATTAATAATTTTACATAAGTAGTGAATATTTATGAGAAAATGTCAATGAATTCTAGTAAACTATTGTAGTGTGAATAATTTTATTAATAAAAAAAAAGCAGTTTATTACTATATTGAATAATAAATAATTAATTATTAGAAAAATAATAGTATATAATTACAGTTATGGGAAAACTAGTACTACTTGAATAAATAAAATTGCGCACGTCTGTTTAAACACACATTATGTATGTATGTTTCCGTATGTAAATAAAATTCTTTAAAATCAAATAAAACTATTGATTTCAACTGTCAAGTGATTTGATTCTTATTAATTATTTTAGCTAGTCCTTTATATGTATAATAAAATCAATTATCAATTGAATTAAGATTCATTTAAGATTCTTTGATTCTAGTAAAAATGCTGTAAAGCTTTCAAAACTCTAAATTTAATTTGTACAAGCAAGAAGCTTTAAAAGCTTTGTAGTTCTAACCTTAAGAACTGATTTGTCAAACCATCGTAAATTTGTTCACACATTACAGACCCTTATTTTGCAATGTAATTGATTAACAATATAATTAAATAAATAATACCGTTAAAGTTATTAATTTTATAATTAAATGTTGTCTAGTTAAAATTCACTCATTTATATACTCATAATTAATAGCCAATTCAATAAATACTTACTAAAAAATTATAAAATATTGTGAACTTATAATTATTTTCTTCATATTATTCCTAGATTACAAACATGTATTATTACGAATTGTTTGATTCAATTTGGCCCACATAATTAGCCACAATACCATATATTTTTGTATATTGTGTTCCTTAATGCTTACCAAATTTCTTTAATCACAAAAAAAAACTGTAAAAGTACATACATACATACATAGATATGCATTTAAAATTTCTTGAAGAATTTTTTTCAATTAACTCAATTACATATTTTATTTCAATATTATAAGTTTACATCAAACCTACTACAATATTCTACCTTCCATATTAGTAAAATTTAAAATAGTTTCAATACTATACTCAAAAGAGTTCGAATTCAAAATACCAACTTATTATTATCACTCCAATACACTAGATATTAATCGCGTTTTGCACTCTCAAACAGTCGCTAATTTTGTTTGATTTAATAATATAAATTTGATAAAAGTTTGATGTATAAATTTTCATAGATTTTTTTTCATATACAAATATTTTAAAGTCTTCCCAATTTCACTAAGTAGCTACAGCCTAACTAATTAAAATTGGAAATTAAATGAATAAAATCTTAAAAACAATCATACATTTTAAATATCAAACATGTTATCTTTCAACATTATGTGACAATATACACACATAGATATTATGTAACTGATATTGAACTAAATTCCGAACCGGAGTCAATTAATTATATTACAAAATTTTTTTTGTTAATCAAACTATTAAAACAAAATCAAACTTTTACAAACAAAAATTCATACATCTTTTAAATAGAGAATCAAACATCTTAGACAATCAAATATCCCCTAATAGGAATATCATTAAAAATAAAAGAAAAAAAATTTTTAATAATTATACTCGATTCTTATAAGTAGAGAGGGTTTAAAATTCTTCTTGCTGACATAATAAAAGCTTTGGTTTTTATGTCATATTTAAAAAAATTTTGTTCATATAAGTATGTATGAGAATATTTATGTCCATTTAGGTTTCACATAGAAACAAATCTATATTTAAGTAGGTAAGATTTTAAATTTTATATAAGCTACAACTAGATATTCGATTTTAACGAATGAAATCAAATTTGTTACTAACCGCTTTTCGGTTTGTTTTTATTTTCTCGTAAACCATAATGTAGAATAAAAATACAAATTAAAGACTAGGGGGTTATTTCAATTCAATTATATTTAATGCTAAGATATGCTAGATAAATAGGTAAAGTAAACTAACAAGAACTTAATAAAATTTATGAATTTCAATTATTTATTAAAATTTAATTGCATTTGCTATATTTCAAAAATAAAGAATATCTACTGAAAATTGCTAAAGGGAAGAAAACTTCGCTTACAAAGCACTTAGATTTCACAATTATAGATTGTATTCCTCAAAATCTTCATCTTTGACATTCTATTTTTCTAAATACCAAAATTAAGAAAGATCTCAATACAAAAATTTCATATTTCTAGAAAAATTTCAATATGCTAAGTAAATACTTAAACCACTTATAATTCTTCCCTTTTAACAAATTTTACGGTTTTTATATACATACATATGTATGTATGATATATGACATGTATACATTCATATACAATATATTATACAATAATATGTGTTTATAAATTTGTTATCCTTTTTAAATAAAAATGAAGAAAAAAGAATTTCTAGAGATTACTGACCCTTTCTAAAGGATATACATATCAATTCACTTATATATACTAATCTGAAATGTTATATAAATATGTATATGCCCAAGTTCTTTCATATTTAATATACATACATGCTTATATAACTATATTCTTACAACTATACTAAAAAGGATAATATTTAATATACTATAGATGGGGCTGTTATATTTTTCTTTGGCTTTATTGATTTATATAATATACATTTTAATACATAATATTTTTATATAATTGTACATATATACAAAATATATTGTATTGCTAGGTGTTTAGGGAACTTATATATGTATGTATATATATATATAATTATAAACAAAGGTTAATACATAACCTAAAAACTACTTACATTTTTTGTTGCGAAAATTTTTTTTTTAACTAGAAAATTTCACAAAATTTAATATTATTAATTATTAAAATTTATTATAAAATTAATATTTATGAATTTCAAATAATTAATATTTTATTATTTTTAATTAATTAAAGAAAAAATTTGATTGAAGAAATTTTATTTAAAGTTTATGATTTACACATGTATATGTATATATGTATGTATATATGCATGCGTCAATTTTTTGTTTAAATTTTTGACAAATTCGAAGGGTCACTTTTTTCTTCTTTTTTTTTTTTCAAACTAATATTATGTACGTTTGTATGTATATTTATACTAAAAATTTCTAATAAAATTTGACAAAAAAATTTTTTTTAGTTTTTTAAAATGAAAAAATTTGGCACTTTTTTTATATATATATATGTACACAATAAGTTTAATAAATATTTTTTTTGTTAATCTTTATTATTTTAAATATTTTATTTATTTTGAAAAGAAAATTTATAAATATTTTTAATGTTATATATAAACTAACTCATTTAAGCAAAAAACACCGAAAAAAATCTTTAATATTTTCATATCTAATTTGACATTTTATATTTTATACTCAAAATGAAAATTTTTCACTCAATATTATTTGTCAAAATATAATATTGAAACAATAGATATTTTGAATATTTAAAAATAGATGTCGCACTATTTACTATACTTTGTAATTTTAATATTGTCTATTAATATTACTTGTAAATAATGATATATGTGAGTGTTAAAAATCAAAATTAAAATCTAGTAAAAATAATTATTATATTATAATATCGTTAAATAAATATATTATATGCATGTACAGTAGAAATCCAGTCACCTGTGATCACAATAAAAACAAGGATCATTCATTCTATTTTCAAAGTTGACAATACAAAATATAAAACGTCAAATAAATTGAGTTTAAATATTTGAAATATTAAAATTCTAATTAGATATTTTTGATAACACTTATTATTTATTCCAAAGATGTTATAATTTAAAATTTTTTGCTTAAATTTAAATGTTTTCTTTTAATATTCGGAATTCTGGATCTAAAATTATCGAAATTATATTTTAAATGAACACAATGATACACAAAATACATATGTATGCAGATAATGTATATACATAAGTATATCTCTTTTTTTCTAGCTCAAAATCAAAACTCCTGCACAATGAGAAAAAAAAAACGGTAAATAAAAATCATTTTTACAAAATTTGTTTTTTATGTTGGTTTCTTACAAAAACTCATCTTTACAGTATAAAAAAATCAATGCTAAAATTTGTTTACTCAGCTGGGAATTTCTTAAAATTTGATGTTCACTAGTTTTTGTATTCGGAACCGATAAAGTAAGTACTCAAAAATTTTCTTATATTCAGAAAAAAACATGAGATAAATTCCGCAATATTTACATATTATTGGCGTAAAATTCATAACTTACCTACCGTATTATAACTTTCCGTTATAAGTACATATGTATGTACATATGTACTTACATATATGCAATGTTAAAGTTTAATTTGCATTTTTGTTTATTCACAAAAAAATTATATAAAAATTATAAATCGATCTTTTCTACTTTACTTACATACACACAAACAAATTTTACATGAATACAAATTTGTTAGAGAAAATTTTTTTATTCTCCTTTTTATACACAATCATAATAGAATAAAAACAAATTACATTTTCTTAAGTTAAAATTATTTTTAAATAATTAGTAACTGTGTAACATTTCCGTTCTTTCCAATGCTCTTATAATATTTTCGATATCATCGTAATCTATTAATGGAATTTCATATTCTTTGACATTTTGATTTTTAAATGAATTTTTATTCTCGATTAATGAATGTTCAAATATATCTGAATTACCCATATAATATGGATCATAATTTTTCAAATTATTTTCTAAATTATCATTTGTAATTTGTTCAAAAAAGTTAATCATTTCATCATAATTATCATCATTATTTGTTTGTTTTAAAATATCATCTTCAGTATTTTGTGAAGGTTGATAATAATACCATGGTTTATTATTTTCTTCTGAGTCTAAATTTTCTTTTAAATTATTATCGTTATTGTTATTGTTTTGTTCAAAACGATTATCAATTTCATTTTCAATAATATCATTTATTTGATTTTTAAATTCATCCTCAATATCATTTGAAGATTTATAGGACCATGATGGTACAACACTTTCTTCTGAATCTAAATTTTCTTCTAAATTATCAGTTGTCATTTCATTACTATTATCTATTTGATTTGATATTTCATTTTTTGTATTGATATTAAATTGATCGTGGAATTCATCATTGTATAATGGTTTATAAAACCATGGTACAACATTTTCATCTGAATTTAAATTTTCTTCCAAATCATTTCCATTCATACGAGTATTATCTATCTCCTTCGGTATTTCATTTACTTCAATATTAGTTTTTGCTAAATCTATATCATTTTCTGGTAATCCATTATAAAACATTTGATCATACCAATTTGTTACAGGTTTTTCTGTAGTATCTTTTTCATCAGTGTTATTATAATCCTCGTCACTATCTTTTTCAATATCTCTTTCTGGAATTTCTTCATTTTTTTTATCATCGAATATACTTTCAACTTGATTAATTAAATTTTTATCTTTGTCTAAATTTGTTTCGGCATCCAATCCAAAAAAAATTGGAATATTTTCATCATTTTTGTTAAATGCATTACTAATTCCTGGTCTAACATCAAAGTGAATAACTTTATTTCCGATATTCAGATACTGAAGAGTTGGAGATGCTTCACATCATATATATAACATAAAAAGAAATTCGAATATTATTTAAGAAAATTTAAAAAAAAAAATAAAATTACAATTACCATCATCAGCAATTATCATAACTGTGGCTGCATTACAAAAGCCGAATAGCAAAATTATATTTGTAATTAATTTTATTACATTCATTTTTAATATCACACAATATTCTTTTAAATTAAATATTAGAAATAAAATATATAAATAATGCAATAATGTTTTCTTTTCTAGATCTAAATTAATAAAAATTTCAAAATAATCTGCGCTTCAAATAGACAATCACATTGCTTTTATACCCTTTTTATATTCATTTTGTTTTTTGTTTTCTTTATTTTGTATTTTGTTGTTTTAGAATTTTACGAAATTATTATTTCTCATGGTATTTTCTATAGAAATTAAATAAACGATAACACCTTGCCCTTTTATATTTTACTCATACCTACATATTATGCATATACATACATGTGTACATACATTTGTTATAAATTTTTACAATATGACACTTTTTCTTTTCTATATAATTAAGCTTAAAATTTGAAATTTATTTCTAGAGTCAAACACAATCTCGAAAATGTACCAAAATCTATTTTTTAGACAATAAATTTAAAAATTTTCTCATAATGTGTATTCACATATAAAATTGTAAATAAGTGAAGTCTAATAATAACATTTAATTAAAATCGAATTAGACCCCAAATGAAGTCAAATTAGATAGCCGAATTTTAAAAGAAATTCAATATGACAGTGTAAAAAGTTTTAAGTATTCTTTTCAAATTTTTTAATTGAAAATTATTGTCTACATAAAATGTTCAAATATAATTATTGAGGTTGTTCTATTCATATCAAACATATCCTTACCAAATTCCAACAGAAAAAAAAACTCAAAAAAATGCGAGAAATTTTTAACTAGAATTTTCGATTTTTTCATTCAATAGAAATTTTATATTTCAAGCTATTGAATAGCTACCAATCTAAAATTGTAGCAATACAATTAATTAAAAAAAAAAAATCTTAGTTAAATTTAAACTTACTTGGAATTCTAAACAAGCTGATTATTTTCTTATTACATAAAGAAATTAATGTTTTTTTTGTTTGTGTTAAGATTTTTGTTTCTTCGTTTTTTCCAATGTTATCAATTTAAATTTTTTTCTTTTATACACCATAAATATTTTATATATGCAAAAATTTAAAAGAAAATTTTTCTTAATTTTATTCTGTTTAATAATCTCAAAGGTGTAAGTTATATATTCACAGTTCATCTATTTATATAAATTTGTTTTTAACAACTAATATTACAATATTAGAAAAAAAACAGAAACTTACAAGTTAATAAAGGTCGTTAAATTTTTATCGCATATAACATTCAAATATATGTAGTTAAAATGAAATTTTTTATATTTGAATAATAATTGAATATAATATTGTGGAAACTCTTGTAGATTTATGTATAATAATAAAAAATACTTAATCAATTTAAAAAAAAAGGGATCTCTGGACTAAATAAAATCATATTTTAAGAGTGAGCGAAAATACATAAGATATTGGAAAAGCAAACGCTTATTTGATTAATTATTTAAGTAATTTAGTAATTGATCGGAAACCATTTTGCTCACTATCCATAACTCTTAATATTGTATTTCAAGATCTACATATAATGTATTTCAAGATCGGATCTTGTAGACAATAAGAAGATCTATTAAGATTACGTACAAAATAACCTCACACATGAGTGTTCAAAATTGTATTTCTTAATAGTGTAACCAAAATCATAAGAAATTTGTGATTAAGCAATGTAGATCCAGTTCTTATAAATATATTATACAAAACTTACAAATACTATGAAAATAAATACTTAAATATTATTTTTGAAAAATAATTTCTGTTCAAAATAAAAGTAATAATAATATATTTTTAAAATTACAAGTTTATTAAGAAATTTACACGTAATTTTCATATTTCATTTAGTTTTATTTTTGAATATATTTCTAATACAATTTTCAAATAATAATGTTAACAAAACAACTTAAAATATGCTACACATTTAAAAAAAAACTGCAGCGTGTTTTTTTTGTTTTACAAAAAATTTCTTTCTAGGATTTGTTACAAATCTTTGGAATTGAATTAGATAATTGTTATTTAAATAAATATTAACATTATCTTCACATATTTTATAAAGTTATTTTTCACAAGTATTATTTTTTTTTCGAATATCAACATATAATTTCATATAATGTTGATATATAGTTTACGAATTTAAAATAAAATAAGGAAAATATTGTAGTTGATCAAAATACATACATACATATACAAAATTTTTATTCAAGATAAAAAATAATATTTAAAATAAAATTCACATGATATACATATTTCGATTTATTTTTGTAGTAGTTGCCTTGAACAAAACTTAAATTAATAAGGATGGAATCTACATAATTATAAAGAAAGACATTAAAGAGTTGAGATTTAACATTAAATGTTATAAAAAGAAGACAAAATATGTAACATAAATTAATTTTTTTTTTTCATAAAAATTTTTTCCTTTTCTTTTTTGTTTCATAAAATTATAAATAAATTATATTTTGTTTCGCATTTTTAGGCTTATCAAAGAATGTAAAGGAATTTATTAAGAATTTATGCGTTCTAAAACATAATTACAGGCGTAATATTTATGTATGTAAATTTTGCCAAACTTGTACAATATGATTTGATACAGTGGCTGTAGCTTCACTAGCATTTGGTATTAAAAATCTATCCATATCTGTTATATGTAAGCTTTCACCTTCTGTATAACCATATCTAAATGTTATTAAATCTTTATGACGTTTTTTAGCTGTTATTCGTACAATACTTTCTAATGGTCTTTTAACAATAATTTCAGCTTTACCCTTTTGTTGCATATCACGTAAAACTATTAAATGTGTTGATGTAATTATTAAATGACTGTCATACATATATCCATTCATATGAACTTCTTGGCATTTATATGAATTTTTTATTTCTGGTGATTTTAAATATTGATTCAAATTGCAAATTTTTGCATCATTTTCACCAAAATGATTATCTGTATCATCAAAATCATCAGCACAGTTATAATCGCCTGGATCATCATTATCTTCATCAATACTAAATACAGGTGCTACATTACGATAACGTTTTCCATTTTTTTCTTGACTACTAACATGCTTTTCTATAATAGGTATTTGTTGATTTTGTGGAGTCGAAACCGATGGATTAACAATGATATCTAAAAGTTTTCCTTTAACTTCTTGTGATTTCATTTTCATTAAACCAGATAATCTACTAAAAATATCTGTAGGTTGTTTCAAATCGGCACCTGCGTTTCCTGAAACACTGACATTTTCTTTATTTCGATCATTTGCTGCCGTGGATATTGCTCCACTAATATTATTATCAATTTTTGTTTTAAAATTATTATTACTTATTAGTTTCGAAGCATTATAATTTCGTAAACATACTAAACATTTTTTGGAGTCATGATCTTCTAAACAATCAGTCATATGATCTCCAAAATATTCGTGAATAGCCTTATAACCACCAGTGAGCAAAGATACATAATGTTTATTTTTTTGTAAAAAAGATGCTACTACCATGTGGGTATATTGATCTTCATCTAAACGACCACTTCCCATAAAACACAAATGTTCACCACCAGCGTTTGAGTTAATTTCAATTGATTGCTGCTGAGCCCTTAATAGACCTTGGACGGCTGTATTAAAAGCGGTTGGCTCTTGTAACATTAAATTGCAATCTAAATGAAAAGCTGTAGAAAGATGGCCAGCATTATATTGGTCGGCTGGTCGACAATCAACTAAGAAAAAACGTACAGAATCAGGTGTCGTTAATTCAACAGATGAATTTTCCACAAGTTCAAATACTGATACTGGTAAACAAAGTGCTTGGGATATTGCTTCTCTATCTAAAAATTTAATATAGTTTTAAATGCAATACATATATAATGCAAAAAAAAGGGTTACCAGAGCTGTCGGCATGTGAGCCAAATAATGCTTTAAGATAATCGGTTTTAAATGAAGAAGGTGTTTTTGAAGCATAATATTGAGCTAATGAGCAAAAATCCACAACATCATCCGTTTCTATTGCATATGGCATATTTGTTAAAAATTTTATTATCTCTTCTTTTGAACGATCTTTTAATGCTAATATTTGATCTCTACCATTTATTAAAATTATTAATCCCAAAAAGAATACTAAAAATGGATCACCATGTTGAAAATATAAATCCCACATTGATAAAACAACAGATAGGCCACAAGTTGATGCAAAAAGTGTTCTAAACCAATACATTGAATATAGATCTGGAGAAATTTTTCTCGTATCTAACATTGAACATAATTCTGGATCATGGTATAATATTAATAGTCGAAATACATGAAATACATTCCCTTTTGGTATGCAACCTTTTGGTATATATGTATCTCTAATAGCTTCAAATAAATTATAAGTTTCACTACGTTTTAATTTTAAAGACAACAATGGTAACAATAGTTCTATCCAACCCGATTCATATTGAAAATTTCTATTTTTACAATAAAATGTTAAAATTGACTCTAAATCTGATACAACAGATACTTTATCCTCATCATCATTTCCAATTTTTAAAACAATTTCATGACAATCTTCTCGTAATTTTTTTTGAAACGGTAAATCATAGATTTCATTAAATAATGACATCTGATCATTCTTATGCCGTACATCAAGGCAAACTTGCCAAACATCAGGTCTTAACGATTCTAAAAATAGTGAAAAACAAAAATGTTTTTTTTTTTTTTTAATATTTTAAATTAAGGCGTAAATTAAAAATATAATATGTACCTGGAATAGATTTTCCTCTGCATATGGCATATATATCGTTAACATTGCAATCATCCAAGAGCGCTGATTCTAATTCAATTAACCTGAAAAAATAAAAAAAATTATTTTAGCATTGAACATTATTATTTTTTTTATTTCATATCACTTTTGATCTAATAAGTATAGCGCTAATTAGCTATAAAATATGTTATAAATATATTTATATTAATAATGCGTCAAACATTTTAAAAATTTCATAATTTTGAGCTTGAGATGAGACAACCAAGTAGGTATGACGATGATTGAATAAATAATTAAAAACTTATGTAAACTTTTTATCGCATTCTTGTACTTTTTTACTATTTTTGTTATTGTTTTAATTAAACCATTTTTTTCTTTTAATTTTGGAGAACTATATAAGAAGTTTGTAGTACTACGTGAATACAAATAAGAGATAACTAAGGTAAAAGGAATATTTCTTTAATAGATAACAATGTTTGTAGAATGTAGATACCTACATAAACTGTTATCTTATAATTCTTCTCAATACCTCATACAATATTATAAGAATATCACATTTCGGTAAAAATAAAAACTTTAAATATTTATCTCTATTTTTTCCAATATAATAAAATAAAAAAATTAGTTTTTACTCCCGATTTTTCCGATTAAAATTCCAACACACATTTTCCAAAAAAATAGCAAAAACCATTCTGTTTACTCACCATGAATTGTCATCCATATTTTATAATTTTATTTTACAATAATATTTTATTACAAAAAACAAATATATCATAATATAATAAACGAATTTTTAACTTTTATTTAAAATAATAAGACGATAGAAATAGAAAAAAAAACTTATTATGGAGTTTTTGCCAGCATTAATGACAATTTATTTAATTCTTATTGACGTTTACCAAAAATGTCATCTTTTATTAATAAAACAACTCATATTTTCAATGGTTTGAGACCTCACTAAAGTACTAAAAAAAAAATTTTCAAATTAATTTTTCTAATAGGGTTGCGTAAATATATTTCATTTAGACAGAATTTAAATATTATTAATAAATTAAACCACAAAATGTATATGTAATTAATAAATCATGCAAATTTGTTGAAATTTACTATACGCTGTCAACAACAAATCATATGAGTGACAAATCTTTGTAATCTTCGGAATCGCAAGTATATTTTATTCATGAAGTAATTTATATTTAAGGTTTCGAACTTAAATGCGTTATCAGCAGCATAATATTACGAATTAATATTAAATACAATATAAATTTATATAAAAGGTAGAATTCAATATGATAGATCTACGCAATTTTTTAATTAATTCATTTTTCTCTTTTGCCCAATGAGATTTCAAAACTATAAAAATTCTTTTAATAATATATGTAGCAATAATTTGATTGTTCAAAGCATCTTCAAGTACAATCATCTTCATTTACAATAATGTAAACAATATTACAAATTACAATTAAATTAAAATAATTGAAATTTACAGGTTGTATTACTATGTAATGTATCTATAAATATACACGTATATAAATTACATTATACGTTTTTATATATTATAGAAATATTTAAAAAAAAAATTAATGAAAATATTATGATATATTACTAGCGCAAACTCACCAAAAATGAAAACTTAACAACACACTCAAAATAATAAAATAGTATTGCCATAAATGCGCAACATATTGTGAATGGAAAGAAAAATTTTCGAAATTTTAATTTATTCCTCGATTTAAAAAATGTTTATTTTTTTAATGACATAACATTATCTATGTTCTCTTATGATTTTTTGTTGCATACTTTTCGGGGAAGATATCATACGATGACGTTTATATTGGCCTTTATAAATTTTATATGAAAATATTTCAAGATAACAGTTTATATAAACAGTCATTTTTATATGGTCTATGTTTAAATAGAATTGATGTGAAAGATTAAATTGCAATTAGTAATCACTAATCACAGTTTTATTTCATTTTTTTTATAAAAGTACTAAAAACAATAATAGTAAATAAATTAAAATTTTTTTTAAATTTTAAACTCTTATTATTAGATTTTTTGTTTTAATTCAGAATATTTGGCCTTACTAAAATTATAATAAATTTACACATACACACATCATATTAATCACCTTATTTGTAAACTTTTGCCGTCACAATAACTTTTTTTTTAGATCCTTTCACCACACATTTTATATAGCTATGTATACTTATGTATACTGTAATTATAGCTATGTATACTGTAAATGTGTAATGTTTCAGGTGAATAAGTTCATACATACACACGTATATCCTTATTTTATTACACATAAAGTATGTACATTATGTATATAGTAAAAACATAAACATTTCATTTTATGTATAAATATATTGTTATATTTTATATAACAATATCATAACTCATGTATAATATAAATACTAGGGTAATAAATGTATTTATAACCAGTTGCTTCATTGAAAATTTTCCAGTTAAATTTCGTTGGCCTTACTAGCAAGGTCGTATTGGAAAATCAAAAAGAAGGCCAATAAAAGTACTAAAGGAAAAATATAATAATTGATTTTAAATATGTTATAAAAATTAAAAAAAAAAAAACAAATTTATTTGTATAAATGTGTGTAATTTTGGGAATCATATAAAAGCAACAAGTGAGAAAAATTAAAAAAATAAAAAAAAAAACAAGTTTTGAATTAACAAGAAAAAGAAAAATCATATTCCAGCTTTTTTAAATTTCATATATTTTAATTAAAAGGATGCTACTAACTTAAAATTAAATCTGAACAGGGAAAACGTAGAGAAACAAAAACACTCTGTTATATTAAAAAATATATATATATATAATTAAAATATGAAACCATATAGCATTTTGGTTTTAATCACGGTATTCACATTTTCTAATTGTATACCGACATCAGTTCTAGCTGACACAAAGGACCCAACGGATCAGAAAAATTTTAAAGGTAAAAATAATTTTTTTTTTGTTTCTCTTTTATTTTTACTTTAATCCTTTATTGTCTTTTGTTGTATATATGTAAAATTTCATTGTAATATAAGGTTCTATTATCCTTTTCTTTTTGATATTATTATTGCTATTATTATTATTATTATTATATAAAAACAAAAAAAAGAAGAAAAGAAAATAAATTATCCTTTGAATATACTTGAAATATTTTATACGAACATACGCAGTATACCTGCAATATTGTTATACATATTAAAAGGATCTCTAATTGACCAAAAACAAAAAGAAAATAAAAGAAAATGAAAAAAATAAAATAAAATTTCAAAATTAATTATTCATGAGGAAAATTTAAAATAAAAATATAATAAGAAAAAGTTTACATAAAATTTTAAAGTTTTTAAACAATTAATTTTGAACCCTTTGAGGCATTGTGTCAAGAGATTTAATTTAAGAAATTTAAAATTGAAATAAAATATTAAAAAAGGTTAATGAGGGTGACAAAGTATAAAATTTAATTTGAGTGACAAATTGCACATTTTATATGTGGATGTAAACACGTTTATCTGTAATAGATGTTGTAATGTAAAAATTTTTTAATCAGTCTTGCTTAATTCTAGTGTAAACTATTCGTAAAATTCTCTCAGAAAATTTTGATGCTTATAATTTTTAAAATAATTTCAATTCATTGCTTGACTTAATCTTTTATTATTCTATGCGAAAAAATGACGATCGTTTATTTCAACTCTTTTTTAGTTATTTGGTGAGAAGAAAGTGAGTGAGAAAAATTAATTTGTATAATAGATATTATATAAATTTTAAGTGAGATTTTCCCCGCCGTTAACTCTTTTTTTCGAAAAATATATTCAAAATCCAGTTACTCTTTCAAACACCCAATTCATTTTATCTTCACATAGTCATGTAAATTGAAAAGTTCAAGTGATATTTTAAAATTTGTTTACATATGATCACAGTGAGAAAAAATGAGAAAATGCAATTGAAAATGATGAGTAATGTTATCAGTAAAGTGACAGTGTGAGTGTCTCTATATTGTTAAGAGAGGAAAAAAAATGAGAATTCTAGTGTGAGAATAAATTGCAAGCAGCGTTCCCACTTGGATACAATTGTATCCATTTGGATACATTTTTGCTTTAAAATTTAGCTTGGATACAAAGATACTCAAATCTGCTAAAATGTCGAAATTGGCTACATTTTAAAATTTTGCTGAAATATGGATACATTTCTTTCTCGAACACTAAATATATGTTAGAAAACTTTTAAAGTGCTGTAACTTTTAAGTGCATTATCTTCCAAAAAATATTATTTGCTGACTAAATAAAATTTGCCCGTTTTCGTGCTGAATCGTTTTTACCGCATAGTTCAACAGCTACAGAACATATATTTTCTGACCTTAAATTTTAAAATGTAATAGAAATTGCGTGTGATTTCTAAAAGAATTTACTATAAATAACGAAACTCACATTGTTGAATAAAGCAAATTAATATTATTTATGAGTTTATTGTTATAAAATAAGGCGATTTAGTATAATAATTCTACTTTAGGAGGCTGGATACATTTTGGATACATTTTTTTCTCGAAATTGGATACATTTTGTTTTTATTGAGTGGGAACACTGATTGCAAGAGATGACTTTATAGGTGACTAAAGTGAAATATAAAAGAAAGAAATTGAGACTATGTATATAAAATTTTTCCCGAAAAGTTTTTTAAATTAAAAAAATTAATCATATATAGTCGTTTTCTCTCATTTTGTTTGAGCTTGTACAAAAAATAATCATTGCTTAGACACGCACAATGCTGTTATCAGATTTACTAGGAAAATCTTCAACATTTTAATGAGGAAAGAAAAAGAAATGATGAATAGTTAGTGAGAGTTCATGTTTATTAGTATGAGAGAAACAAAAAAATTTCAAAATTATAATTAAAATTCAATACAATTCTCTTATTGCCTATATTGAACCATTTTTGTCTATTTTTTGATATTCAGAGTAAAATACGATTTTTTTCTTTTTACACTCACATACATACATATATTTTTGAAATAATATATTTTTAGGAAAAATTTGAGAATAATTTTTAAAAAAATGATTTCGATAATCTGACATTCAATTATAAATAGCATATTGACAATCTTCATAAATCTATTTGAAAATAGATTTACAGCCTGATCGTTTATCTCGCTTTATTATTCACTTTCAAATCAGAGTTCTCAGTATTTTCAATTGCAATTTTTGATTTTTATCAAATTATCGACTGAACCTCTCTTTTTTAAAAAGAAAGCGAATAAATTTTGTATACATTTTAGGAAAAAGCGAGGTACGCAATATCAAAAAATTTTTCTCACTCGAAAATTACATTATGCAAGTATATGACAGTTACTCACTTTTTTCTCATTTTCCGAGTAAAATAGCCAAATAGACGATCAGGTACTTAATAATATTAAGTATATTATAATTATAGTATGTCAATTGTATTAGAATATGTCAAATTGATTTCAGTACTCATTTATAATCGGAACCTTATATATGCGTATATGAAATGCTAATTTAATGTAAAACAGTCAGAAAATTTTCGAAGCTATATGGATATGACATTTTTTTGACACAATGATCTTATAGAATTGAAAAGCTTCTATATTAAATTAAAATGGAAAAGAAAATACACTTAGACTGTTATATTTAACTAAATTTTTTCAAATAGCGAAACGTCGGAAATGCTCCTTTAAATCAAGTTGTACAAAGTCAGTTTGCGTACATACCCACATAATAAGTAAATAAATCCACTTTTCTTCATCTATACATTAATATATTTAATGAATAATATAAGAAAGGGTACACGTATATATGTATGTATATACATTCTTTATAAATATTTGCATAAATTAGCATAATATACTGAATTATATAATTTATTTTTTATATGCATACAAATATTTATATAATATTTATATAATATGTACATATATCAGATTAGATATAGAGATAAAACAATTCTTCTCTTCCTCTCTATAGTGGTTATAAATTTAAATATGTCATGTGTACACATAGCCATATGTATATCTATGTATACACAAGTGTACATATAGCAAATATTGTGTTGAAAACTTCTGCTTCTTAGGGTTACAATTAATTTTGTTTTTTTTTTTTTCGAATTAAACTTATTTTTAAGTAAAAAAAAGGTGGGGGGTTTTTTTTTATTACAGATTTTGTATTAAAAATAAATCGTGGAATTACGGAAGCATTAAGTTTTTCTATTAAAATTGCAAAAAAAAATAATTTTTTTTTTATATTTTTAATTAATTTTCCCTTTTTTTCATCCTTTTTTGTAAGAAAATTGCACACATCTTTGGTATTAACTTTAGCATTTTTTTTTCTTTTAATTCTAAAAATTTCGATAACACTTTCTACTATGACGTCATTCGGATTAAAATGGGGTTTTGTCTCTTTTTATGTTTTGCTTTCTTTCAAAAAATTGAAAAAATTGTTTAGTGATTTTTGTTTTTCTATTATTTCACTTTGAGTTTTAAATTAAATATAGAAATTTTAATTTTGACCTTTATTGAGATAAAGAAACTTTTGTCAAAATTTTTTTTTTTTAATTTTTTCGGAAATTTTAAAATTTTCATCGGCTTTCTGAATAAATTTTCTCTTTAATTTTTTCTTTATTTCAAATTCGAATTTAATAAATAGAGCGAGACCTTATATTATTATAGTAGTGGGAGAAATTGACTTCATCTATACTATACAATTGAATTATTTTTCGATTATACGAGTATTCATCATTCAAAAACACCTTTAGAAACTCAAAATTTTCTTGGAATTTTTCTTAATTTTTTTTTTTTTGTTATAAGACATTATAAAAAATTGGCAGTGTTGCCCATTCTAATTACTCCGAACTTATTTTTAAAAATTTAAAATTTCATTGAATAAAAAATTGTATTTTATTTATCACTGAAAATATATTCTCACTTCAATGTGTCATTTTTTGAAAAGAAAACTGTTTAAATTTTTTCTGTCAATTTTTCAGTTGTCATTTTCAATTTAAATTGTAAATACATCAAGAAGGATTTTTTTCTCAGAAGGAAATTTTGCATTTGGCAAGTTTACAGATATGCCGCTGAGTGTTGAGCAAGAGTAGTGGGATAATTTTTCTAAATAATAAAAACTGAGAAAAATAATTTGATTTCCAATTTTCATTTAATAACATATGTATAACAGTTCCTAATATCAAATATAGTAATTGTAGTGAGAATTAAATTTTTTTCTCTTTTTCTGTAAAAATAATTTTATTTTTCGGAAAACCGAAAATAATGCCATACCACTTATATAACAATGCATAACAGTAGCAATTATTTTATGTTTTTTTTTTATTTTTATTATATTTAAACGTAAAATATAATAGAAATAAAAAATTTCTTTTTGTATATACAATATTGTATTTCTTTGACATTTGAAGAAAATTATAAGAGAAAATATATTTTCTATTTTGATTTTTGTTAAAATAATTTACTTCCATTCTATTTTTCTCTCACATTTTAAATACCTTTAACATATAATATACTAAGATTAATATTTATATATGCAAGCGTAGATATTAAATAATCATTAATATGTTAAACAAATTCTTAAGGGATCCTTTATACATATATTCGTACATACATATACATACATACATGTAATACATTTCGTTTAAATTTTAATTTGTTGGTTGACTTGATCGAACTTAAAGGAAAGTGGGTGACAACACAAAGGAAGAAAGAAAAACAAAAATTTGTATATATATATAGGATTTATTAAGAGAAAAAAAATTAATTTTTTTTTTTATTGAGAAAATAAAGAATTAAATAGAATTTATATACATATATGTATGTAAATTGTAATATTTATCAAAAAAAATTCTAGAATTTATTCAAGCGATTGAGGTAGGACGAATTAAGTTTTCTTATATCGCCATTATTTTAATATTATTTATGTGAGTAAA